ATAAGAAATGAGCACGATTGGAAATCAGAGACGTGTACTCGTCGAATCAGAAAAAACGCCATAAACAGAAACTTTTGGCGTTCCGCGCGGCTTTCTCGGATCCGCGCTGGGCCCCCCCCCCCCCAGCCCCCCCCCCCAGCCCCCCCCAGCGGCGCCTCCGGCGCCGCCCCTGGCGCGCTCCGCGCGCCAGGGAGGGGGGTCCAGCGCGGATCCGAGAAACCCGCGCGGAGCGCCGAAAGTTTCTCTTCATGGTGTTTTTTTCTTCTTCTGTCTGCCCCGCTGGGCTGCTTCCTGGTCGAGGCAGACGGACCGGTCACGTGGCTGGACCCCGACGGCCTGGCGCGGCCCATCGCCAGGAGTGGGGTTCCTCTCCCAGGGCCTCCGCTCGGACCTTCGCTCGGCGCCTCCGGTCGCAGCTCGGGGCTTCGTGGCAGCGGGAGCGCGAGCCAGCGGCGGCCTGCAGCGCATGGGAGCAGCTTACCGGAGGGGCCGCGGCTGGGATATCGCCGAGCGCGCTCCACTGCTCGCAGAGTGCCTGCTCGCAAACGTCCCAAAAAACAGAGTTTCGCCTCGTCGTGATGGATCCCAGATCCCGCCGCGCCGGATCCAGGCTGCTTGCGAGCAGTTACTCTGCGAGTGGTGGCGTGCGCTTGTCTAGGATAGCAGAAGCCGGCATGAGAAGCCCTTCGAAGACAGCATGAGAAGCCCAGGTGCCCTCGGGATAAGAGAGGACCGACCCTCTCAGGCGCCCGAGCACGCGGCCGCAGGGACGCACGACTGCGCCGGCGCGTGCCCCTGTGCGATATAGCTACACACAAAAATGCATGGGCATAAATTCGGTATCGTTCAACCGATCCCCATCCCCATCCCCATCCCCTTCGAGACCCCCGCCAAGTTGCCGCCCCAGTTGGGGGCACGCCCCTCGAAGCCCGAAGGAAACGGCCTATATCCCCACCTAGGGGGCAAATCGGCCAGTGGGGCCCAGGCCACGCCGCGGGGGATGGGGATCGGTTCAATGATACTCAGAATTCAGGGGAACAAAAAGTGGCATAAACATGAAAACTCGGAGATCCGCGCGGATTTCTCGGATCGGCGCAGGGGCCCCCCGGCGGCGCCTCCGGCGCCGCCCCTGGCGCGCTCCGCGCGCCAGGGAGGGGGGTCCAGCGCCGATCCGAGAATTCCGCGCGGACCTCCGAGTTGTTATGTTTATGCCACTTTTTTGTTCCCCTGTTAACTCTCGGAGCTCCGCGCGGACTTCTCGGGTCGGCGCCGGGCCCCACCCCTCGCGCAGAGCCCCGGCAGTCTACGGCCATGCCGTTGGTGCTGCTCTGGTCTCCCGAGGGGCAGGCGGCGGCTCGGGCAGGAGGCGGGGTGCGAGCTGCTCGCCTGCGCCGAGCGGTCGCCAGAGGCGGCGACAGGGGCTGCTGGCCTATGGGGGCGCGCACTGCGCGCATTCGCCAGGCAGCCTCGCCGAGGAGGTGGACAATCGGCGCCCCTGGATACACGTGCTGTTTCTTTGCGTTGGGAATAATTACGCGCATATATATATATATATATATATTACATACGAGGTAAATACACTGCATTCACAAACATCCACATGCATGCGTACACATACATGCTTACACTTACGTGCAACACGCTTGTATACATATCAGAGTGAGGGGGCCGAGCGGTCATTCTCTGTCCCTGGGCGCGTGGTTGAAGTGAGGTTATGCGGTGCGGATTGTTGTTGATTGTTGTTGATGTTGTTGTTATTATTGTTGTTGTTGGTGGTGGTGTTGTTGGTGGTGTTGGTGCTGTTGGTTGTGTTGTTGGTGGTGTTGGTGGTGTTGTTGTTATTGTTGCTGGTGCTGTTGTTGGTGATGCTAGTATTGTTATGTGTGGTGTTGCTGCTGTTGTTGTTGGTGGTGTTGTTGGTGTTGTTGGTGGTGCTGTTGTTGGTGTTGATGTTGTTGGGTGTTTGGTGTTTGCTGGTTGTTGATTGTTGTTTGTTGTCGTCGCTCCCACCCCACCCCCCCGTGTGTGTGTGTGTGTTTGGTATGTGTGTGTGTGCGTGCGTGCGTGCGTGCGTGCGTTCGTGCATGCGTGCGTGCGTGCGCGTGTGTATGTGTTTGTGCCTGACTTTGTGTGTTGTGTGTGTGTGTTTGTGTTTTTGGTTGTGCTTGTGTGTGGTGTGCGTGCGTGCGTGCGTGCGTGCGTGCGTGTGTGTGTGTGTGTGTATTGTTCCCCCCCCCCTGGGCTATTCGCCTTGATGCTCGCCTCCGACTAAGCTTGGGCGTGGAGGCACACGATGCGGGCGAGGTGCCCAAAGGCGTGCTAGCCAAAGCTATACAGCCGAAGCCGATGATAGGGATGGGTAAACTTCCCAAGGTCCGAGGCGGGAATGTATACATGACCACCGCCTGGAAGGTCAGTTTTCGGAGCCTCGGCAGGCGGTGGATATGGACATATTCGGGCCCCGGGGGGCCGAAATATATCCATATCCACCGCCCGCTGAGGCACCAGGACGTCGGTTCCCAGGCGGTGGATACGGATAAATCCCTGCCTCGCACAAGGATACCCCTTCGGTCCATCCTCAACCACTTTCCACGGCCAGCCCCGCTCGAGGAGCCTCGACATGGACGTCCAAGGGGCTTGCATCCTCATCGCGCATGCTCACTACCAGTTTTGACTGTCGTCCATGTGCCCGTGGCTACTACCAGGGTAGAAGGAGGGGAGAGGAAGGGAGAGAGAGAGAGAGAGAGAGACGGACGGAGGGAGAGGGAGGGAAGCCGTGGGGGAGGGGGACGTGGGCGGGGGAGGAAGAGGTTGCGCCCGCCTAGGACGTACCCGAGTGGGATTGCAGCGAGGGGCTACAGGAGGAAAACGACGGCACAGGGTCAATTCCGATATGGCCGATCAAATGCGATATCAATTGTGGCCAGCTCGATCCGGCTCGATTCCGATATTATACCGATCCGATGCAGCACGGTGTTTATACGGCGACGTTGCGCATCTTGGCGCAGGCGATCCGATTCGGTTTTGATTCCGTGCCGATGCAGCCCGATCCAACGCACATTCCAAGTCGACCCGATGTCATTATTCGACGCAGATTGCCCCTGCGAAATGGGAAAGGAGACAACGACATGTTGGGAGGGTTGCCAGACCGCATCCGTAGACGGCTGAGCTGTAGCCTCGCTGTCCGGAGATTTTTCAATCGTGTGCTTGACGTGACTCATGTTGTACAGATGTTGTGCATTAACGTCACCGCCCCTGCAATGCTCGGCGACAGTCTGCGATCGGACGAAGGACGCCAGAGGGATGATGATGATGATGATGATGAGGAGGAGGAGGAGGAGGAGGAGGAGGAGGAGGCGGCGGCGGCGGCGGCGGAGGAGGAGGAAAACGGAGGAAGAGGAGAAGCAGGGCGGACTGGGCGAGGGGGGTCAGGAGGAGGAGCAGAGCGGGGGGAGGGAGGACGGAGATGAGGGGGAGGGGGAGGAGGAGGGCATGAGAAGGCCAGGGAGTGGAGGAGGGGGGAGGAGGAGGAGGAGGAGGAGGAGGAGGAAGAGGAGGAGGAGGAGGGAGGAGGAGGAGAGGGAGGGAGGAGGAGGAGGAGAGAGGAGGACTGATGGGGAGGAGAGGAGGAGGAGGAGGAGGAGGAGGAGGAGGGGAGGATTCCAGCTGGGATTCGATCGGGGCCACGGTGCTGCGGGCCACTCGGCCCCAGGCTCACGGGGAAACAGCTGGGGCAGTGGCAAGCAGTGGGGGCAGCACCTTCGGGTGCTGGGGGGCCTCGAGCCCGCAGGCGCATGCCGAAAGACAGAGCGGGCGGGGCCGGGCTCGCTCGACGGGCCGGCTCCACTCGCACTCTGCTGCTCCTC